ATTAAAGTCTCCGTCTTATTCTTCTTCTTATATATATATATATATATATATATATGGGTTTAAGCAATATAAATATTTCAAAGATATTTTTGTCTAATTTTGGTAAATATATCCGTTAAAATGAGATGTCAGTGTTATTTTCATTTTTGCATCATTTAGTTGAGAATTTATCCATTGCACTATGTATATATAATATTGAACATTTCCTATACTCATCGGCAATCAACAGAGAAGTTCACGATGCTTCGTTCTTCAGAATCTAGATAAGAATGATCGTATTATATATATATATATATATATATATATATATATAATTTGCCTCGGGTTACACCGATTGTGGTTGTGTGGTAGATTGATTATGGATTCTTTTTAGTCCGTTTTTAAATTATTATATAAATTATTATATCCCCAATTTTTATTAAATCCATGCTTAATGAATCTAAGATTAGACTGCCCACAACCACAACCGGTGGAACATAAATTCTTTCACTCCTAAAAAAAAAAAAAAAAAAAAAATCAACGCACGGAAATAAAAATGGCGACTAGACGCACAAAGGCGTACATGCATACAGATTATCAACCAAATCGAGTATAGGCCAACTTATGATACACAAACACAAGAATGATAAACACGAACACTACTTGACAAGAGAAATACACTGGACGTCTACTTAATCAATGAGTAACAGAAAAAAACAAAACAAAACAAAAAAAAAATTACCTGAATTTAAATGCAATGCCAATCGTTATCTCCTGTCTTCTTAATTACTGTTCTATTTTAGTTCTCGCTCCTTAATAATGTTTTCTTTTTAATATTCTTTATTTTTAATATTTCTTTTTGTTCTTAATATCCTCTCGCGCTCAGAAGTGTCTTAGTTGCTTTATTCCCTTGTTTGGGGTTAAATGATAAAAACAAAAAGTAAACAAAAAAAATTCTGAAAACTTGTACGTTTTTGTGAAATACCTCGTAGCTATATAAAATATACAAGCCTTTAATTACAAAAAAAAAAATAAATAAATAGGTAGGACTCACTAAAGACCTTATTCAAATGGAGGACCTTTTTACACGGGTTAAAGGTTTCCATTTATGCATTTTTTTTAATCACATCACCTCAAGCAAGGCGATAATGTCACTAAGACGCAAAGGAGTACTGGAAAGATGAAGAGAATAAGTAGAAAAGACAATAAAAGAACTGAAATTCAAGAAGCCAGAAGATTGCACCTGGGGTTGCATTTAAATTTTTGAAGATTGTAGGCGGCAGGGAAGCAAGCAATAAAAAGAGAGTTCCACAGGTGAGAAGTGCGAGAAAAGAAACTATTTGAATAAAAGTTACTGTTACATCTAACTATTTCAACAGTAAAAGTACGAGACCTGATGGACGATCTAGTAGCATGCTGTCGATGTACCAAGGAAGATAGGTCATTAGATTAACTACGATGAAAATATTTATAAAGAAGTTAAAAGTGAAAGTGACTGAAGCCGAGATGCCAGGTGACGACTGATAAAATAACAGATGCTTCTTTGGATTTTGTCAAGAATCTCGAGATATATAAACGGAGCTCCAGGCAAGATTTGGCAGCAATATTCAATGCACTGACAAATGGTAGATTTATAAATGTGCAAGATGGATTCCGGCGTGAAAAACTATCTGGAACGACACAGTGAAGCACCCTTCTTAGTAGCAGGCCTAGCAATTGATTCAATATAATTAGTCCACTTCATATGAGACCAGGAAAGAGCAATATGTTGCTTTCCTGGAGGTTAGCATCAGCCATACTGATGGAGGAGAAAAATTTATGATGATTAAAGGATAGCAGTTTCGTTTTAGAGGCGTTAAAATTTACAACACATTTCTTGCCCCAGTTAACAACTAATCGATCGAAAGTCATTTTCCAGAACAGCTCGCAGTTTTACTTTCTCGGGCCTATCGTCAGCATACACCCTTGTGCAAATTAATTGAAACAATAGCTTTATTTTCCTTTCTTTCACTATATGATCAGTTTTAGACCAACTGGAGTGACGGTGTAATCGATTTCTATTTTTCCTCAGATTAGGGCACTTGCAGTGGTGGATAGCAATATGAATCTATTTATTGCGTCTTCCGTGATTCTTTTCAGATTCTTTTCACTCCCAAACACTATTGTCTCGACTGTCGATTAGTTCTCCTACTGCCATTGTCTGCGATGGACGTTACTCCAAGGAAGTGTATGAAAATTGTAACGCTGCACAAACACACAGACAAGACTTACCAGTGAGCAAATCAAAGTACTATAGATTGGCCTGGAAACTTCCTTGATTTAAAACCAATCGAGAATCTATGGTCAATCTTCAAGGAACGACTTCGTGGAATGGACATACGAAGTGCTAACATGCGCACTGGATCAGGTTTCATTGGAAAAATACGAAAAAAAAAAAAGAAAAGAAGAGTAAATAATAACGGAATTATTTGTTTTGTCTCAATTAATTTGCATAAGGGTCTATATACATAGTCAGAAACTGATGGGGTCGGGAAGGTTGTTGATGAGAGTAAATTTTTATTACGTTCAGTTAGGAATTTATTACCCATTTTAAATAATCAAATGTGTTATAGATTTAAAATCAAATACAATGAGAATCAAGTAATTACATAAGATAAATTTAATCTCAAGATGACAAATTCGAGAGTCAAATTTGAATTCCATTTTTGTTCGTTGCATTCACTTACGCGCAAATACCCATGAGAAAAGTATGAATCCATCTCATCTCCCCAGCTATGGATTAAATAATAGGACGTTTATATGGAATTATCATTTTTATTCTAAAAGAAAATTTTTAATGCAATATTCCCTGACAAAAACGAATTATTCTTATAATTCAAAATATGTTTTAAATGTAAATAACCTACAAAAGGTTGATAAACTGTAAAAAACAAAACAAGCAATCAATTAATAAATGCTTCAGAAAAGGATCAACGTCAATAAAGGAGTATTAATGTGATGAATAAATCTTGCTCTTCATCTTAAAAACGTGATAAGAATGGCTAATTCATGGAACGGTATGAAAAAGACTAAAATATTAGAAAAAATGTTGGAAAAAATGTTCTTTTTTAATTTAATAAAACTTAATTAAAAAAAAATATTCCCTCATAAAAAATAAAAATTTAATATGAATTATTTTAACTAATTTTCCATAATTTCGTCTACACTTTCTTTTTATTGTTTGGTTTGCTTAGTTTAATGACATATCAACCTCAATGGGTTATTTAATGCCGACAAGATTTTTATTGCTGGTAATATTTTTTTTCCAGAAATTTATTGTTGGTAATATTTTTTTTCCAGAAATTTATTGCTGGTAATATTTTTTCCAGAAATTTATTGCTGGTAATATTTTTTTCCCAGAAATTTATTGCTGGTAATATTTTTTTCCAGAAATTTATTG